CCTTAGCAAAAAGGTTAATCCTTTTAGAAGCAGCAACTGAAAGAAAACTTTACTGCTCCAGTTGAGATTCCCTATGGTACTTAACACCCGACGTAAAGGGCTTGAATTGTCCACCCTTTCCAGCCCCTCTCCAAACAGCTGTGGAAAAGAAATTATGTCTGCTTTTTGGCTAATTAAATTTTTTTAATCATTTCATTTTGAAATATAATAACAGCAAGAATGAGTTTTGCATTTGAGGGGGAGAAGAACCGCAGGAAAGCTGTCAAAAGGTGAGAAAGGGAACAGTCATTTTAAAGGGAGAACACGGCCCACGTTTTGTCAGGGAAACAAAAGTGCTGCTGAGAATCTCCAGCACAGGTATTCCCCAAGTCGGTGTACTCTAAAGGGAGGACAAAGGGCAAGTTCAGACACATAGACATGGAAAATACGTCAAAGAAAAATCTTGCATATTTAAAAAAATTCCTAGGTAACAAAGGCTCTCCTGTGTGAATGACACAGACATTTCCTAGAAAATTTCCTGTGTTGTTGCTGCTAACTCAGCTGACAGTGGTTTGGAGGTAGCGCATTTGGGGTGTAGAGCACATTTGGGGGAATGGCATTTTAATCTTTGCTTTTATTAAAAAAATTAAAAGGAAAGCTTTAAAAGGAATTTTGAAATATGAAGTTGAAAACAGCCAACATTTGGGGTGCACTAGGTTTTTTTTTTTAAGTTAAAGATTATTAACTAAATTTATCTTTTGTCCAAGATTTATTTTCATGGACAAGCCCAGGGGGCATTGAGTCTCCAGTTATGCCAGGAGCAAAATTCATTATTATTATTATTTTTTAAATTGTTTTCATCTTTTGAGGTACATCTGTTGACATTGTGTTTTAGAGGTACAGGAGCTCCCCCTTCAGGTGTTGTCACCACACTACACCCACCACAGGCACCGCTGTCCATCCCTTAGTCCGTTGGTGGTGAATGGTGCAACACCATACTGATAAAGACATGGGAGTCGTGGAGCAGGCTGCACAAGGCAGGATGCTGCTGAGAGCAAGATCCTGGGCGTTTTTATTGATAGAATAATCATAGAGCATCAGCTAGGTGCGTTAGGAGGACAAGGACAAAAGGATGGGTGAAACTTAGGAATGTTAGCTAGGGATTGGGGGGACATGAGTCTGCTGACCGTGTTATCAGCTTGATGACCAAGTGTTGTAATCAAAACTAGACCCAAGACCCCCAGCCATGGTCCTAATCTTATCAACAAGGCATTCCACTGATCAGCTTCTGGCGTCCCTTGTCATGCATCATCGGTCCTCAGCCCCCTGGGCGTTCCCGGTCATACCTCTTGATGCACACCCTTCCCAGAGTGACCAAGCTTTCTGCTCTTGATTGATATGAAAGGCACCTTGTAAGGTTTGGCTCATATGACTGTGACTGAACAGTTCTGACCTCTGTATAGGAATGCGGAACTGCAAGGTAACCATAATGGTGGCTGAGCAGGCCGCTTAAGTCTAGCAGACCCACACGTTGGAGGACCCAGTCTTTCATCATCACTAGGGGAGTCGTGTTTTCGCTTAGTTGGCGCCCCAGAAATAAATAAAATGACAGAAAAACCCATTTGTGTAATGTTGGTGAGAACCCAAAGGTTCTCACCCTTTTTTATAATGTCTGACTCATGTGTTTTTGTTTTGTTTTTTTAATTTGTATTATTTTTTAATTTATTATTTTAAAATTTATATCTTTTACATACACAGCTCATGTGTTTTGCGTAGAAGTGAGCCCCTGGGGTTCCTGATAGCCTCCATGCTCATTTTACTAATGTCGAAGCCAAATTATATTGAGTGAAGAAGCTTTGCTCTATGCCATCCGTTGTTAAATTACTCTGCAGGCGGTGTGAAGGTTGGCATCACTCACTGCTTTGGACAAATTTTCAACCCTAGAAGTAACGTGTGTAGATTCTTGTCCTCCATGGGTTGGTGGACTGATAATAGACATAGTCCAAGAGTCCAAATCTCATGGCGTGAAGGCCTCTCAGGATGCTGAAAATGCCCCCCGCTGTCTCTGAACCTAGCCACGAGGCTGCTACTCTGGCAGCCACAGAGATGAGGCCAGCCCATCCTAGATTGTCACAAGGTCAGATGCAAGCGCAAAGAAGACCCTGACCCCAAGGTCACTGGTCTCCTTCCCCACCCTCGACCCTCCCTTCTCCTTCCAGCACCAGGAGGCCATGAGGCATCAATATGCCAACAACCCTTGCATCTGCCTGTGTGTAGTTTACCAGCTGCGTCTCTCAGATCTGCTTGCATTCAATTCTTGCACATTTTATTGTCAAACGTTTAGCTTGAATCTAGATGTCATGTTCGTTAATAATAATACCAATAATAACAAAAGGATGAGAAAGAGGTAGATGGGGAAGTTATCTGGTATTGTTTTTCTTTTTTTTTGTTGAAGATTTATTTATTTATGCATACAAGAACTGGGGTACAAGCCAGAGGTATGGGGGGTGAGAGGATTCACCAGAAACAGAGGGGGAACAGAACAGGCAGATTGACTGAAGTACACTGCTGAGGGGAGCAGTGGGCGAGACAGGAGAGGTCTGCTGTGCCATGTGGGTAGCTCCCTGGCCAGGGATCAAACTGGTGCTGCAGTGGCTGCAGATATCTTGATAGGTTGCATCTTAACCCCTTGCGCCACCAGGGAGGCCCTTGTATTAAGTTTTTCTTAGAGAACTCAAGCTGTTTTCTAATTATCTTTCATTTTCCTTCCTAAGTACTCACTTCCTAAATCTCTCCAAGACTTTTCTGGAGATCAGCATTGCCCATTTTAGTGTTCTATTTGTTCTATCATCTCTACCATTTCTGGGTGTTCATTGATTTTTTTCCCCTTTGTTATGGGGACTTTCCTGCATATTTGCATCCTGGAGAACTTTTAAATGGGTGCTAGAGGTGATGAGTATTACCATGTACTCCTGCTAATAGTTTTGAAGTCTGTTCTGGGCCATAGTTAAGTTACTTAGAACACCTCTGGGTGTTGCTGGCTAAGCTTCAAGCTGGGCCAAAGGGGCACTAAACCCGGGCTCCTTAGTTCCTGGTCCTCAACCTGTTCTTGCCTCATTTCCTCAGTGATTGTGCTGATCCTGCTCCCTGGTTTTTGTACAACTCTTTCCCTACTGTCTCCCTCTCCCTGTCCCTCAGCTCTGACTCCTTCACAGGGAGGGCCCTGGGTACCCCCTCCCTGTGCCACAGCTGAGGCAGGCAGCTGGGTCAGTGCAGGCAGCTGGGTCACTGCAGATTTTGTTTCCTTCCAGGGATTCTCCACTGACTGGTACCCAGCGTCTTGAGGATATTTCATCAAGCAGAATGCTGTAGGAATCTGGCGTTTCACGTATTTTGTCTGTTCCTTTCTTGCTTTAGGTGGAAGGACAACTCTGGGACTTGTGACCCATGTTCCACGCAAGTGGAAGTTGATGAGCAGCCGAAAGTTGAGTCATGCCAGGAAGCCTCCTGCCACCCACTCACCTTTTTCTAGTCCACATCCTACTCGAATCTTGATTTTTGAAATGCCTCTCAAATATGCGCCATGTTAACGGCCTGTATTCAGTTTCTCTATTTCATGCGCGCTTTATTGCTACTTGCCTCTGAGAAGATTGTCCTGGGTTTAGCCTTCAGTCAGACCACACATTCCTTAGAGCTTTTTTTTAATTGCTGTATTCCTTGGATCTAGAAAAAGTACATTGGCATCCAACAAATTTGCTGAATGAAAGAATTATCTTCTCTGACAGCCAATTTACTCAGCATTTCTGTGGCTGGAAGAGCCTCCTAATTGCTTCCCTCTCAGCCGAGGGAGGCCTCACTAGCCTGCTGTCCATCAGCCCAGGGACCTGCCACTCCCTGAAATGAGCCCTTTGCTTCCCGCAACTTATAGCCATTACTAACTCGGGCCTTTTCTCGCATGCTCCTTTCATCTGAAGGCTCTTCTCCATTCTGCCTCTTAATGTTATCTGGCCTCTGATCCCTCAAAAGGCCTCTTCCTCCCTCATGTCCATCGGCACTCACCATGCTGAGTCCCCACACCACCTACCCCGTGTGCTGAGTTACTTGTGGATTTCCTGTCTGGCTGTGTGTTTTTGGTTTTGTGTGTGTTACATTTTGCTTCCCAGAACAGAGCAACACGATGGAGAACAGGAACCATTTTAAAACACAGCAGGTACATCGTAGGTATCTTTAAACTGGAGGGAGAGACAGCTTTGTAAATGTGCACATGCTGCTGGAATCACTCACTTACAGTAAAGGGGCACATCATTCACTGTGCCTTATTTTTGTGGTCCACATCGAGAAATGGTACAGTTGGTGAAAATCACTTGTAAAAAGCCTTTCTACCAAATCCTACTTTAGAGAATGCTAGTGAGTCAAGGCCCTAGAGTATATTTCATCTCATCATGTGAAAGTTTTTACTTTACCACATTTTTCTTTTCCAATTAAATACTCTGCTCCAGTCTCTACAAAATAATTGATCAGTATTAGGGATGTTATATCAAATAATATTTAAACAGAAAGCAAGGAAATCCTGATATCACATAGCCAGTGGTCATAAACTGGTATTTATTTATGCAAACATACTATAAAATTTTTCTAAATCTTCAAAAAATAGTTCTATGGTCATAAACATAGAAAATGGGAAACTCTAAAGTGAGTATCGAGATTTCAATATTAGCTCATAAAAAATATTGAAGCAAAATTCCTTGCCACAAACACAGAAGAATTAACCAGTGAGAAAATGTAAAAACAAAACAGAGAACACAAAACCCCACCAGTTTCCACTTTAGAAAAAGCATGATCTATTTTTTTTTAAGTATTTCAATGATAGGAACTCCTATAAAAAAGTGAAATTTGCTTGTGGCAATGACATTGTGAAAACCCACATAGCTTCACCCGCTGCCAACTAAATTTAGAACACATGAAATAAACGCCCCATACAGAATATTTTTGTACTAGAAAACAGGTAATTCACATTCTGATAAAGAGCAAAAGACAAGTGCTTTATTATGAGAACTGTTCAAGTAAAATTTCAGTGTGCACCAGTGAAAGTGAAGAAATATTTGCATCAATTTTTTTTGAATGAACACTAGGTTAAAAGGGGCTACACACAGTTGTTTTTTTTTTTTTTCCAAACACCACCCTTTGCTAAGGCAAAAATACACTTCATTTTAGAACAGAACTGTTACAGAAGAAAGCTACATCACAGCACAGTACGGAAAGTAAGGTTCACCCTCGTCTGGAAGCAACCAGAGTGGCGCTTCCCCACGCTCAGGGCCCTCTTGTGTAGGTTAGGAGTCCAGTGTCGATCAGTTTTATTTTTTTTTTCAAACTGATAAAATTTGAATACACTTTCTTTTTCTCAGGAGTGTGCAAATGGGACCCATATGTTGATATTGCAGTAATGACAACATTCAATAACATTGCACAGTCAACCTCCACAGCTGATTCCGCATAAAATAACAAGTATTAAAATGTACCTTTACCAGTGGTTTTACATCGCAAATATCACCAATTAGGAAAGAAAAGTAGGCAAGTGCCCAGTTACAAAGCTGCACATTATAGGCATTAACGATGTGGAATAAATACAAGAAATCTAGCAAAATATTAAAAAGAAAACAGCTTACAGAATGACCACATAAGGCTAAATCAATAGTACACTGTTATAAATAGTATGTTTTGCTCCAAAGTCCCTAAAGTACTTACAGGTGTTACTGTTGGGGGTGGATGAGAGGAGAGTGAGGCAAATGTCCCCAATGCCAGTTAATTCCTGAGGTGGCATTATTCTTAACTGATGCATTGACCAACACTGTAAGATGAGTTTGTGCTATGAAACCGTCCAGTTAGGATTGGATTTCCACAATGACACTGCAGGATTCAGAAGGCAGCCAACCTAAGTGAGTTTACATTACAATAGCCAGATGAAGTATTCACTCTTTTTAATTCTGCTGTTAGCAGTGGGCCAGAAAACGCTTTAAAGTTGAAAGGAAATTGGATAGAGTTTTAACCTTTTTCCCCCAGGACTTCTTAGTTAGCTCAAGGCAAAGCTATTATTATTTTCATGTATTTACTTTTAGAACTCTAAGTGCCAATGCTGTAAACACGTTGTATCTTCTCAACTAAGCCTTGTCCGATAACAAGGAGGAGAGGCAAAGATAAGCAGGAATAATTCTGTGTATAATAAAGCCGATCTATTTATCAGCTTCTTGTTTAAATTTAAATATGACTTTAAAATAATTTGTTAAAAGTCCATGCTACAATTGTAAAGACTATTTCTGTGCACTTTTAATCCTGGACACAATTCTCAAAATTGCATGATGGAGGTAAGAATTTTAAAAACCCACCAGAACGCAAATAACAGGGAAGGTCAACTTTTCCACTCAAAGCATCAAACATACATTTATGTGCAGAAATCTAGACAACTATACAAGTTTTTAAGCAATCATTTGTTTTATTATACAATTCTATGAACAGAAAATGAACAAAATACACAATATACTTACCTGTACATGTGAACCTACTTTTTAGCTACAGATATTTATTATAGTTCGTACTGACTTTAATTTTACAGTTCATAACTATGTATAACCTTATTGCATTAAGGGCATTCTACGTGGGGGTTCACAGGCCAATCACATAGGCGTTGCCAGTACATTCAAAAACTGGACCTCATATATGGATGGTCTTCCCTGATCCTGTAAATTTGAGTTTCTTTACAGTTTAAGCTCATTTGCTATTTTTGATGCAATGTTCTTAAAGGCAATAGATGTCCCCGATATTCGCTTGAAGCGCACCCCGTTAAGTGACAGACGTGGCAACTTGCAGACTTCCATCTCCCACTGCACGAGGCTGTCCTGTCTAGCGTCGCCGTGGACACAGAAAAGCAAGAACCTCTCTTTCTGTTCATAATCACAGTTATTTGCATCCAGCACTTTGCGGATTTCCCTCATCATGTCATTGGGGTCCATTGAGCTAGTGGTCTTCATGCTCCACGTGAACCGCAAGGAGCGTGGCTTGGAGTCTTTGCTCTCTTCCTTGTCTCTCTCCTTTGGTTCTCCTGATGTGCTTCTGGAAGAAGAGAGCACAGGGAAAGAATGAAAACAAAATTTCCACTCAGCAAAGAAATCAAAACACACTTACAAAATTTCAGTGGTCGTGGTCACGTGCCTAACAAGCCCGCCTAACAAGCATCTGCCTCTGGGCAGATGCTGCGGCTGCTGTGGTCTGGCTGTAACAAAGACAGACCCCATGACACCATCTCTTCTGACTTCTATTCACTCTAACTAGCTTATTAAATATATTTGTGAGGAACAAGTTTGCAGGTGAAAGCAAAAAGGTCCTGTTTAAATTTGCAAAAGCTGAGTCTCCATTTTTCTGTACTTCCATATAAAACAGGAACCACTTATACTTTACTTGTGAATACACATTTTTGAAACATCAACCTAACTTTTCCTTTCTTCTGTCTTTTTTGGGTAGGAGAAAGACTGGGGACAAGGGGAGTCAGAATGACCTCAGAGGGATTATTTATACCTGCTAATCCTGAGATAGGGGTCACTGCAATGTAGGGAGAATGGCAGGTCCCCCAAGGGAGGACTGAGGACCAACACCTGCCCCCAGCCCATCACTATCCTCCCGCTCACTCCCATCAAGTCATGCTGGCCCCCGTGTTATCCCCAAACATGGGTATGTTCTTGCTTCAGGCTTTCGCATAGGCTGCTGCCTCTGCCAGGAGGGTCTTTCCTGCCAGCTCACTCCTTGCTCCTCCGAATCTCCACTTACTTCCCCATGAGGTGGACCCTAAAAGCCCTGTCACAACCCCAACTCCTGCCCTGGCTGGGCCAGCCCTTTGTTACTCTGCCTCATTTTCCCTGTGCAGCAGGGAAAATGCTCATAAAAAATGAGCATTAGTAAGGCTAATGATTTTCAGAATTTACTACTAGGTTGTAAATTCCTGGAGGGAAAGGAGTTTGTCTGCTTTGTTCACTGATACACATCAGGTTCTAGGGCTGTGTTGGCACAAAGAAGATCAACACATTCTTGTGAAATGATTAGCCTTACTAATCTTGAACCAGAAGACTTATTTCAAATTATCATAGGAAGGTAAAATGAATAGCTCACTTATAATTCAGAAGACCCTAGAATTAAATTTGTTGACAGTGAACCACCTATAGCTGCTGGGATTCTAACTTGCTATCCCATCTTCACTTGTATGTGATTTAAAAAAATTATATACTTTGAAAGAAGTTTATAATCTGCTATATATTTATGAATGTTTTGTAATATTACATAGTATATATTTATGTATACATTTTTATGTAAGAATTGTTATGTCTATAGTTTATATGTATGCTTTCATCCTTGTAGTCTAGGTGTCTGAGCCTCCAAAATCTTCTAATTATGCCAGCTAGAGAAAACAAGAAATAAGTAGAGACAATAAATTCCCAAAAGCTATTTAGTAAGGACAGAGAGTATTTATTCCACATCTTTTCTGACTCCTTTTGCTCATGCACCCCATGCTGCGGCACCCCAGACCTCTGCTTCAGCTGCATATCAGATCCCTCCATGCCATGCACATTCAGCACAGAACCCCGCCCTTTCTTAGGTTCCCCTCTTGGGAACAGGAACTCAAGTGCTAAACACCCTCAGCGTGCTCCGGGCCAGCAGCGCCAGTATCACCTGCAAACTTACAAGAAATGCAAAATGAACCCCAAGCCCTAGGGTGAGGCTCAGCCATCTGTCTCACCCAGCCACCCAAAGGGCCCTCACCGAGCTTGGGTTGGATGCCTGGTGCCAGAAAAACAACACAGGAGACCCCAAACCATGTTTTGCATTTGTACATGGGGTGAAAGTTTTAAAATGTGCCCACCAGTGCTTACTCACTGAAAAGCATCATTATTATCAATTCTTCCTAAGTTTTTGTTCACCTCCGTGTTCTGTGTTTTCTGGTCTGAGTAACTGAGAAGAGCTTAGTTACATCATGTTAGTGAGAAAAGGCTTGTTTTATTTTAATCTATGATGTTTTCTGTAAAGACATACTTTACAGCACAGAGAGGTGATCTCTTTACAAAGCACATAATTGCAAATAACATTTATAGAACACAAACTACAAGTGAATTAACTTAAACTTCATTAAGCGCTAGTCAACGTGAGGACACCCTATCCTAATAAGAAAACTCCAAACACACATGCAACCTAGTTATCAGTTCTGTACTCCATGTTTTCACAGCCCGGCAGCCAGGCACTAACATTGGCTCCTTACCTTGAGGTGTCTGTTCGGCCACTGGCTTCGCCTTCATTCGGATCCCTCAAAATAAAATGAAAGTTGAGATTTAATGGTAAAGTGAAAAACACCTCAAGAAAACCTACCTCTAAAATGACTTTGCAATCAACGTGAGCAAACTTCTAGCATGGCAGTTTTCCATGACTGGCCAGTCTGATACTATTGCTTACATTTTTCGTCATAAGCACATTGAACTATCATTTCTGGAGCATCCAGTGGGTACTGGCACAGAGGAGATGCTAGGCCAAAAGTTCAGGATTCTTTTTTAAAACTATTTGATTTTCCAATTCCCAGTCATGATTTTAAAGGTCTAATTTATTTTTTGGTTTAATTTAATTCGATCTGAAGTTAAAGCCATTTAATAATAATAATAATCAATAGCCAAGATTCAAGTTCATATTTGTTATTAAATATATATATAATTCTAGTAGTTCAATTTAGAAGCTATGTAAGTTAACCTTGTAGCTAGAAATACAGCTTGAAACATCAGTATTTCTAAAAACATACACCAAATTTTAAATAAGCATTTAACTCATTTCAGAAGTTATGCCAGTGATTCATGCACATAGTAATTATTTCATCAAATCAACAGCCCATCCAGCAGGTGTGTCTAAAAACATGATTTCAGTCTTAAACAGAAACAATAATCTTACCTGGATATTCACGTATGAAATTAAAGCAGGAAAACTTTACTAACTCTGGGCTATATTGAATGCGATCAATATTTTTGAAGTCCACCGAAATTTTAACTACTTTGTTACTGTCAGATGTAATTAAATATCTACATGGGGTATCAAGTTATAAAGCAGTTTAAATATAGCGAGAGATGACTTGTGATAGAGTGAAATATGATTAAACGACTGGGAAAATAACCAATTAGAACCCTGAAGTGAATGTTTTCTTAATGTCAACTATTCCAGAAACATTTATATTATTTATATACAATGAATACAAGAGAAATAAAGTCAGTGTTACTTTCTTCATTTCCCAAATTAATAAACATATCCACACTCGAAGCTATAAAGCTTTAACTGATAGTTAAAAGTATGAATGCCTTATGCTCCTCAGCGTTTTTAACTATAGGCCTTTTTTGACAAATATACTGTGAAAACCACTTTCCTACTGGATTAAAAAGGATGATAAAATGTCTTCTTAAATGTCTCTTTTTAATAACTGGCAATTTCATTGGGAAATACATTAAAAATTCAATGCCACCTATAGAAATCTATTTTATTCTAGCACACTGAAATAAATACAGGCACTCTTGAGCTGGCCTAGCGTGAAAAGCACATGTTCAGTTCCACAGGATGTACGGATGGCAAGGGAAGGGCAGTCCGTCCATCCATCATCTGGGCAAGAAAGAGAGCCCTGTTGCTGGTTCCTGCTGGCAAGATGAAACTCCTTTAACAGGAAGGCGCATACTGCAGTGGACTTTTCTGTCCTATTTATAGTTTGCCTTGACATTCTGCCCTGACTTCTGGTCCCTGCTCTTAATAAGGATGTTCCCTCCAGAACCTAAGCTTTTATTGCCAAGCAAAGAGCATGATTTTGCACAATGTCTAATGTGTAATTAGTAATCAAGCATTATACTCCAAACCTGTCTTCCTTCCCTTTAAAATGAATCTTGATTCAACTAGAGAGAAATCACCAGCTTTTCACAAGACCTTCAGTAGTCAGTCAGTCAGGTTCCAGCAACAGAACCCACTGGCCTGGCTTGTCCCAGCACTGCTGTCCTCTCGTGCTGACTCTGGAGGGGAGCTGCTAGGTCTTTTCCTGAGCACATGGCTATTGCATGGCTATTGGCCAAAGGGTATAGAACCATTAATATGGTTAGAAGCAGAAGCTGCATTTGAGGATTGTAAGTTTTAAGCTCAGCTGCATGATCCGGGGCCAACTGATCCCTGAATGGAGTCCATAAATAGCTTCAGAAAAGGCAGGAAACTAAAGTGCTGTTTCTCTTTTCCACACCCACTCTTTGAAATCCTAGGAACACTAAATCACATTAAAATTAAGTGTTTTATTAATACTTTGTAAAGTTAGAATGACAATTTCCTATCCATCATTTAAGGCTCTACCCAAATCATCCTGCAGGGCAGGGCCTCCCCTTCCTCCTGCCTCCTGGGGCTCCTCCAGCACGCAGCCCCTTGCTCACCCACAATCACACATCTGTGGGCATCTGGGGACACAGACGCCATCGTGTGCCAGGTCCCCACTCTGCACCACACTGCACTTTGCTTGTCAGGCACTTCCACAGGCTGTTAGGACTAGTGATCGGCCAAACTTGCAACAACCTTTGTTGGGAGCCTGCTGCCCTAAAGGGAGCTGGAGTTCTTGGAGAACACCTGTTTACTCTGCAGATGAAGTTCCAGGATGTAAGAAGTTCGCAAACAGAACTTCTTCCCAGAACTGACTCCTGTTCTCTGAGGACATACTGGCTTGTGCGCATGTTCCTCACTAACCAGGAAAACTTGTTTTCAGCAGTAACTTACTAATTGCATGCTATTTTCTTGTTCCTTTGTTCGTATCTTCAATAAAAGCTTGGGCTAGGAGAGTGAAAGGCAGAGCTGCTCTTGATGGGACTCTCCAGCCTCCTCCTGCTGCAAATCATTTAGACTCCAAGTCTTCATTAATCCCGTCTGCAGCAAACCTTGTTGTGTTCAGCAACATGTATCATTTGTCTTGTGCATCCTTGTTTGCTTTTTAGACAAGAATATAGTTTTACTACTTTACTAGTTCACAAGTTTACCGTAGTATTCACTTTGTGTTTCCTACGTTTGCATGTTAAGATTCTGACGCTAACGCATGTAAGCAACCTGTCACTATTGAACCTAAGCTTTTTATCAGGGAGAAAAGTGGGCAAAGTATATTAGTGAACAATTTAAGTATTCATAAGAGATATCTGAAGGATAAATGTAAATTTGTATTAGGCATTCCTTTCTCAAAACTAAGGCTTTTCCAGCAGGGGATAAAATTTTTGTTGAAAACACATTTTTGATGTCAAATTGCATTCTTTCCATTCTATTTTATAGAATTTTTAAACTCTCATTTTGCCCATCTTCTTTCTGTTACAGAATAGGATTTTAAGTCTTACTGGATTATTTTTTCCCCCAAGCTCATGTAAAGAGCTGTTCGAAAGAAATGTCATGACGTCATTCTGGAAAACCACTACAAAGAGTAAAGATAAAAAGCAAGTTTCCTCGGTAACCCCTAGAGGAAACCACCACCACACGCATGGCACTGACCGGCGGACGAACTTGGACGTCAACTTGCTGATAAGGCCGGTGGACGTGCCCCTCCGGGCATGTGCGAAGGCTCCAGTCTCGTGGGAGGGCGAGGCGGGCGGCCCGTTGTAGGCTGCGCTGCGGCGCTCGCGGAGCTGCTCCCCGTGGAAGGTGCTGCGGCTGGAGCTCCCGCGCGGGAAGCGGGTCCGGTCCGGGGTGCTGGCGCTAATACTGTGGGCAGACGGGGAGGCGGCCGGCACTCTCTGCGTCGTGCTGAGGGGGCCGGGGAAGAGAGGTTCAGAGTGATGACAGGGACAGCGTTCACTTGACCAAAATCCTAGGGGCTCCCTTTTTTCCAGCCCTCTTTTGTCTGTCGCCCTCAGAGAAAGCCACGGCATGGGGTCATCGCCCTCGCTGTCAACAGTGTGGGATGATGTTTCAATTTCAAATTAAAAGGCTTTTATAAAAACGTATTTGCTACAGATGAAGTAGTCACCAAAACAGGGACACAAAGGTATGTCCTCTGCGACCAGGGATGCCTGGCCAGGGTGCTGTGTCCAATTCCTGTTTACCATTCTCTGGGCTGACATATTTCAGCAATGTGAAAGGCGGGCTTTACTGTTTATCCAGAAGCCTTTGAATAGAATCATTTCCTATTTATAATGTGGGCCTTGATGACAGCACAATGCCATAGGATGCCACCAGATGTGACTAACAAACCAGCCATCAAAATGTTTCCAACATAGACAAATACTAGAAAAGCAGTCACATAACTCTGCACCTGACAGGGCTCCTTGGGCATGGCTGTTTCACTGACCCAAAGGCCAGCTTGATTAAAGGCCAGCGATGAGCTGGAGCCAGGACAATTAACCTAGGATCTCAACTCCCAGTACAGTGGTTTTGTTTTTAAATCATAAAACATTGACTTAAATGAGAAGTTAGGCAGGGATCTTTAGAGAAGGATTTAAAATCAGATCCTTACAGAGACTTCCTGTTGAAAATGACTTAAATTATAGGCAATGTTACTGATACCAGGGATATAGCAAGTTTATTTAGAATTCAACTTTTCTTTATGAATCTTTTCAGAAACACTATGGGGTGGTGACTGTCACGATCTTCCATCTGGTGAAATATCTTTAAAAAGTTTTAACAGCAAACAAAATGCAATGCCTCCAGAGCACTACCTGGGCCGGTAAGCTTCAGAGCCGTCTTTGATGGTTGGCAGTGTGACTTTAATAGGATGACCAGAGGCGGACATGGACTTCTGGTGGCGGGGTCGTGCCGAGGGGCCAGTGGAAGCCACCGCAGAGCCTGTAGAAGATACGCTACTGGCGGACATCTCCGTGAGGCTTTCCACGTGAAGGGTGGCGAGACCAAGGACAGGCAAACACAAGACAAGTTGCAGTTTACTAAAACTTAGGAAATATCTTCTTGATCCAGTCATCTATTTTTGGGCATTTGGGCTGTTTCCAAAGCTTAGCTATTGTAAATAGTGCTGCTATAAACATAGGGGTGCAGGTGTTCTTTGGAATTGATGTTTCTGTGTTCTTTGGGTAAATACCTAGGAGTGGAATTGCTGGATGGTACATACATACCATGGAATATTACTCAGCATTCAAAAAAGATAAACACATGCAATTTGCAGCAACATGGATGGCGCTGGAAGGGATCATGCTCAGTGAAATAAGCCAAAAAGAAAAAGAAAAATACCGGATGGTCTCACTCATAGCAGGAATCTAGAATACTTAAATAAGGGACCAGGAAAATGAATAACTATAAGAAAGTGAAAATCAAAATCAACAAAAACTATGAACCAGAGACACTTTTTGGGGGGTGGGGGGCGGGAGGGGAGGAATTGGGGTCAGAATGGGGGGATTGCAATTATATGGGGAATATAAAAATAAAATTTTATTAATTAAAAAAATAAAATAAAACTTAGGAAATAGATTTGTAAAAATCTAAATTAACTACCATCTTCCATGACTGAAATACTTAAAGAAATGAACGTGAATGGCATTACCTGGGACTAACAAAACAATATTCTTGTCAAAAAATGTACAGGGTCAGTTTGTTACCACCTGCCAAGGAAAAGATCTCACACATACTTGCTCTTTTTATGTGACTCTGAGAAGGTATAAAATTATCTTTATGACAAACTGATTATGACTGGAGACATTTTTCACTTTTCAAGAAAGATATTTTCACTTTTGCTGTGGGTCACCGGACACCACACAACACAAATTCAGAATGACAGCAGAAATACTCTCTCTATAAATACCATCAAAACACTGTTAGATCATATCATCAATCAATACTTTAACTGCTGTAGCTGAATGGGCTGCCAAGTAGCACTTAGTAGATGGAAAACAGGGAGTCAGAAATCAATTCCCAACTCTCTTTCTAGCCAAAGCATCTCCTGTCCCAGGGAGGTACATTACTATTCTGTGTCTTACAATAACATTTCCTTTTCATGTTTATTAACAGAGAGGAAACTAAAGTAAGAATAGTCTGTCCAGTCTGCTGAAGTGACAAGTGGTAGAACTAAGAAAATAGACTCCCTGTCCTTTGTATATATTCATAATTAGACTCTACAAGTCATGAAGCTAAAATTTTTAAATAAGTAATATTGTTTATCATTTTTAAAACTAAAATACTTTGAGAACTGTATGGTTTTCAGTGATCAGTTGGGATGGTCACGTTTCTTCAAAGGAAGGGAAATAAAGCCTTCATGTTTGGGAACTATAATGGCCTGATGGGGAGGGGAGAGGGAAGCAGTAGGCGTAAGAGAGCAGGGAGGATTGGCGTAGCATGGATGGTCTGCTGCGTTATGGAGAAAAAGTTATTATCAGATTTATTGGGAAATTCACAAGTTAGGAGATTTGCCACCTGTTTTCCCTGAAATATTTTCCCATCCTTTTACACTGGGTCAGCAGGGGAAATGCTTCTAATGACACTGCCTTTCTTTTTTCGAGGCTGCTCGGCTGCAGGGTTTCTGCAGGGGCACCGACTGGAACCACCTGGCACTGACCTACCTGCTGTCTTTGCCATTCTGCAAAGCCGAGTATCGGTCTGTGGTCCTTTCACAGACGTATGTGTTCCTCCTGGCCATGCTGCCTCCGGGATACACATTGTTCTTAAGGAGGAAGAAAAGGCCATTTTAAAATTGTGACTGTAGTTGCAGCAAAGTTTAATGTACCGTCCTGTGGGGAGGTTATATGTTATTTTCAGAATACATATTTCATTTTTTTCATGCATTTATGAGGAATTTTGGTTCATTCAGCGAACGATTCCCTTGAAAATTATAAAAAAGATAAAGATCTTCAAAAAAAATCATAAAAAAAAGTTCTGCCAACAACCACCTACAAAAAATTACAACACACTAGACTTTACTCACACTTGGCATTGTTGAAGACTTTTTCCGCTCTGGCCCTACAAGCGGGCTGGTTGTCATCTGGCTCTTTGATCCGCCTGCCGTGCTGCCGAGTTTGCGAGCCACGTCCCTGTCCCACTCCTCCTGCTGCTCACTCTCCACGCTGTTGGCCTGCGGCCTTTTGGTGTACGACACAGCAGGGGGGATGGATGGGCCAGCTGTAGCGGAAAAAAAGGCATGATGAGCTGAAAGACAATTGACACATTTTCTTCTCATCAACAAAAACTGTATTAAAATATCCTTATTTGCCTATTTGCCACTCAGATTAAACTCTTTGATTTCAAAAATGGGGTCAGTGCCTGGAAAAGGATGGCACATATGGGTCAACTCTGTACAGCCGTGACAACAGGGATGACCCCAGCACGTAAGGAGGCAAACGCCTAATGCTTAAGAAATACGAGTTAGGGAGGCATCGCGCTGTATTTTCAAGTTTTTGACTTTTCCCCACCGTGGTCACTAAACCGCCGCTGCTTCTGATTCGCAGAGATGCTCCGCTGGACCTTCAGGTGGGCGGGCGACTGGAGGGTACTGTTATTCAAGTCACTACTGGGCCGGGAGCGTTGGCATAAGTTTGCACTGGACAAGGACTCCCCGCCTTCAAACTGCAAGAAGACAAAACACGGTTGGGGAAACAATGTACACACCTGATTTTGTGTTCTATTCAAGCTACACATGGAGTGATCAGAGCTTATATAAGAATGACAGTCGGCAAGTTGGCTGACAGGAAAGGACCTTGTCCCTGTGGGCCACTGTGCTCACTCCATTATCACATGCACGCAGTTCAGAGCTCTGGGTGTAGTCAGAACACTAGAAAGTTTTCTGTGTTGTACTTTGTTTAACCATTATAACAAACCTGCAATTTATGAGCCTGCATTTTACAGATGGACAAACTGAGGCTGGGGCAGTCCTGGGGCAGCTGGGGGACCCCTAACTTGGGCCAAGTCAAGATGCAAACTTACAATGAAACTCAATTTTTAACTTCACACACACATAGCCCTTTTGTTTTCTTTTGCTTTCATCACCATATTTACAAAACAAAATTTGGTGTATTGGCTCTGATCAAGAAAGCATATCCACTTAGAACTAAGCAGGCTAAACTATGTTGACAAACCACTACCCTCTCTGTAACACGAACCTGTTTGTTGCTAGCAAGCCTTTGCCTGAATTACTGGTGTATCAGTGGGAGATCTAGATTTAATTGTGAGTCATTAATGATAAATAGTAGATTAATACTGATGATAAATATTATAACAAAGAATGGCTAATACAGAGCACAGAGTGATAGCGTAAGATTTTAGAAATACTAATTCATTGAACCCTCCACATGACCCTAAGTGGTAGGTGCCCTTACATCCCATCCTCATTTTGTAGATTAGGAAACTGAGGAACAGAGTAATCAGCCAACTGCCTAAGTCACACAGTTAGTCAGGGGCTGTATGGGGTATGGTGGGGTGAGGCCACACACCCGGTCAACCTGACTCCAGAGGGCAGGGCCTTACAGCTTGCAGTGGGCTCACTGCATGTATTAAACTACATTCAATACAACTCAGACTTCATGATAATTCACACCTGGGCTGGGCTGCATACTTGTAGAATTAGTGTTTCCTTTAAATTCTAAATTAATGGGAAAATTAAATATCTCAGAAGTGAAATCTAAGAGGAAGCAGCTCACAGACTTTAGAAATAAGCATTTGCACATTTTCCACATCTTCAAGATCCCATTTCTCCTCTTGACGTGGCTTCTTTGCTATCACTTCTCTGCTGGTAATGTCTTGGGGAAGACCCTCTCCTCTGCTGTAATAATAGTACCTGCCCCACCTGCCCCAGAGGGCAGTTGAGAGTATTAGGTGAATTCCTGTGTGTGACATCCTTAGAACAGTTGCCAGCACATCTGCTGTGTTCTGACAACTCCCAGACCTGTTAATGCTGTTCACAGCACTTGCTCCAGAGACAGAGCTGTGTCCCAACGCCCACTGGACAGACACCCCAAATTGAGCAAATGTCTGCTCTTTCCCCTGGAATCCCTCTTTTCCCATCTTGGCAAATACAACTTTTAAACCAGTCCCCTGTGCTGGAATTCCAATGTTCTCCCAGGCCTCATTTCCCATGGCTTGCCTCATGTGAATTGTTCCTTGGAAGTGTCCATCCTCCCACGAGCTCCAGGACCTGCACACACACGGAGTCAGGGCACATGCCCTACCATGGCACCCTGTTCATGCCCACCTGCCCTCAGAAACTGCCACAGTGTCCACTGGCAGCACTCAGCATGTCAGTCCATGCCAGCTGACTGGCAGCACTCAGCGTGTCAGTCCATGCCAGCTGACTGCTGCCTCATTGGTCACTATCTAATTGTAAATAATTTCCGCCTGTTCCGTAAGATGCCTCCCAGAGATGTCGAATTTTCAATTAACTGTCCATATTGTGGGCTGTTCTTGACTCTAAATTTCTACCTTTATATTTGTTGTCCCAAAGGATCATATGCTTAAATGGTTCAGACACCATTTGCATAGTTATTTCCTGAATTGTTCTCCTTAGACTAAATCTCTCCTTGAGAAGTCTCCACTGAATGTATCAAAGGCACCTGATACTCCACAAGGCAAAATAATCTTTCCTTGGGTTCCCACCTACAAAAACATCATTCAAAACACACATTTTGTTTTAAATGCTGCCAGTCCCTCTCCCTTCAGTCACTGTCTTTTCTGTATACCTAGAACAACCATATGCCCTCTGGTCTGGCGGTTGCATTTGGATGCACAACTCTGGGGGTATGGCCTCCCCAAAGATGAGACACTGAATGGCACTTACAGCCAATCGGGACTCGAGCCCTGCTCTCCAGGACAGACTCACTCTCATTTGGAAACAAAGTTGATTTAAAACTTAGTATCTTGAACTTTGGAGTCTAATAAACAGAACATTAGGGTTATTAGGTATTATTTTTGATACCACATAGAATATGTCTACTAGCATTATGTTACACTTAGCTGTCATCTAGATCAAGAAAAAATTTACATTAGTTGAAAAAGGTGAAAAACTTACTTCTGGTGGTTTTCTACCTAATAGGATGTAAGTAGCCATAACTTCATCATATTTCTGATTTATTAAGGCGTCATTTATCTCATCTCGTGCAAAACCCATGGTCACCATGATGTCTAGAAATTTAAAAAAAAATGCAAATTTTATGAAAATGGGTCTGTTAGTTAAAAAACTAGGGAAAATGGGCAAGTTAATCAACATCAGATATGAATATGAAGTTCTGAAACTTTAAAGTATAGTATTAATTATAAAAACGTCTGCATTACTAGCATACTGAAACTTCACAGCTACTGCAGCTCACAATTTTTTGTATAGAAATGATACACACAGGGGCTCTATGCCTAGTCCACTTCTCATCAACACCAGCACGTTCCTGAGCTGAGTTTCTTTGTCCAGCCAGAGACATAGTTAATGTCTATCAGTGACATTCATTCTCTCTCTCTCACTCAACACACCCTCAGCTTCTCACGGAGTGGTTTCTCTCATCTCTTAACCATCACTGCTGCCTGATCTGAAGGCAGGCTGCCCTACTTACGACCGAGGCACACTGCCTCTCACAGCGTTTACTCACCTATTCTTTTTGTGTCATTGAAGTCCGCTTCAGGCTCAGTATATGGCTTTAATTCCTCCTCCTCATGACCAACATTCATCCATCGATCTTTCATTATTTGCTGGGAAATAAACACTATGTCACATTTGGTCAATCAGCACATCCACACATTTATTTGAGCTCCATTGTAGTACATGTAAAGCTTACTGGGTCACTCAACAAGAATCAGGTGACATTCTCAAACTAAAATTACTGTTATAGTTGATCAGCAGGCCCAGGATTAGCCATGGGACCTAGGGACATGCTCAGGTGTGTAGTGGTGACCATGACCATCATCCCTCTCGTATCTACTCAAGGTAGCCTGCTGTCTGTCTTCCTCTAAAAGAATGTTTTCACATTTGAAAGTGAAATCTCCTGAGACCTTAAATTCCACTTTGTACTTTTCACATTTAAGTTTAGTGAAGAGGTTATTTATTTTTTTTTCTCCTGGCCCTCAATCAAATATAAACCTGTTATTTTGAAACCAACAGTTATTAAAACAGATCTGGGGAATGGAAATGAGGGCTGATCAGTAAGGGCAACTCAGAGAATACAGAGGTAGAGAGTAGTTCTGAAATTTAAGTTACAATGTGAAGAGTTTGAAAACAACTAATGGAGTGAGAATTATAAACGGTAGATCCTAAGTGAATGAGAAATGAGATTCTGGAAGAGAAAGTAAGAAAGTGAACCAGTGAGGAGGAGCTGGAGGGAGGCATAGGAGGTGAGTGGTGCGGGCAGAGGGGATGGATGCAGGCACCACCGGTGGGGTCAACAGTGGTGGGTGTGCCCACCCTGGGGTGGGGTGGCAGCAAGGTGAGTACAAGCAAGGGCCACAGTGCAAGTAAGACAGGTGGTGAATCAAGAAGCGGGTGGAAAATCAAGGGGGCAAGTCAGGAGTCTTCCTTCCATTGGCAAGGGCTATTTCTGGAGAGCATGATGCCAGCTCCTGGGCAGCACGTAAAGAGTGGCTGGGACACCTGGAAGCCACCTAAGCGGCTTTAGCCAGAATCTAAGAGAGAGGTGGTGCCAGTCTGAAATAAAGGTAGATAGTGGCAATAGAAGAAAGGCCTTTTCAATATTTGGCTAGAGAAAATCAATAGGACTTGCAATGTAAAATGCACTTATAAAATGTCCACAGAAGGCTTTGATGCTTTACTGTTTGTAGATTCACTGAGAATACTTTATTCACTTTCTGTTGTTATGACAATGGCACCTAAGACATACTATAAAGGATGAACCAGACTCTTACGAGAAATGCACCACTGATCATCAGCAACCATTCATTAGCTTAACGATAACTGGCTAAAGACTATATAGGCCCATCATATTCTGCAATGTCCCTGCACTTCCATGTAGTGTAGTGGAATTCAGGGTAGAATTATGCATGGATGGTAAAGAAAACCATCCACTACTGAACCACTTTATGCCTTCATGACATTCTTCCTGAGTGAAAATAACTTCGTCAACCCTGGTCTGCAATCCCTGCAGCCCAGGCCCCCAGAACACTCATGTGTGTCATGTGCACACTCAAGGTCCACCTGTCGTAAGCAGGTGAAACGCCATTTTCAGTCTTGTGTGTTTAATAGCCTGCCATAAGCAATAGTCTGATTATTTGTCAATAACAACACCACCAAAACCCCACACAAATACTACAGAAGTGGGGAGAGGCGAGAGCCCAGAGAAACCAAAGATGAAGCCCCGCTGCCTGGTTATACTACTGAGTCAGAGCTGATGGTATTTACTGGGAAACCAAGCTCAGAAAGGAAAGCAGACTGGATGGGGACAGAAGCTCAGTTTTAGACAAGCTGAGTTTGAGGTCTGGGCAACATCCAAACAGACATGTTCAGCAAACACTGTGATATCTCATTCCGCAGCTCAAGAGAAACCTGGGCCTGGGATGGAAACTCAGGAATCAGCCAACAGATGACGACAGAAGCTATGGGGATGGGCAGGAGTCTCCAGGAGGGGTAAAGGGAGAAGAATGACAGAAGAGGTCAGGGCAAAGCCTCACAGAACACCAGCCTTCGAGGGCTAGAAACACAGTAATGCAGAAAGGAAATGGAGGAGGCTATCCACACAGAATGACGTGGAAGGTAATGGGGGGAGCTTCAAAGAGGAGGCAGTGGTGCTCTATCAAATGAAGTGGTGACTGAGAAAGTGACCTGTTGTGTTTAGCAACAAAGACAGCTGACTGTACTGAGGGCAGTGCCAGGGGCGGTGGAGCTGGGAGCAAAGGTGATGCACAGAGGAGGCTGGTGACTGTGAGTGGAGAGGCCTCTGAGACTGACCACAGGGCCTGTGGGCTAGAGGACACCTCCTTTTGAATTGGAAGGTGTACAGAGGCTGAGGGAGGGTGTCCCTGGAAAGGCCTGATGGACGGAAGTGAGCCTTCCTGAGAAGGCACAGGAGTGCTGTACCAGCAGAGGAGGGATGGGCGGGTCCTGGAGCAAGGACCAGCCCGGGCAGCAGGGAGAGCAGGGTATCTGGACAGCCAGGTAAGGATATGGCAGCAGGCAGTAAAGAGCTCCTGACTACAAGTATCTATTTCCTACTGGAGCAAAAGATAAAGGATATCTGTCTGGAATGCTTTCCACACTTTCCGCATTTAGGTTCCTATTTCTCTACCAATAATCTCAAAATCTGGCCCTATTGTTACACACTTTCATGATCTTTGCCTACAGTTTAATGCAACTTGTCCTCATACAAATATTTGTGTTTACCTGTTAATTACCTATCTCCACTACCAGACCATCAAGCCAAACAATGACTGATTGCTCAATACTGATTTGCTCAGTATTGCACACGCAACCCCTAAATGTACCCCACACTTAAATTCTCAATACATAAATGAATAAAACCTTTTGTCTGCATCAGTCATCTGCCCTTTCTTGTGTTCACAGGGACTCTGTCTATATCCAAGTCAACAACACTGTCACTGTGTTCTACGTCTGATTACAGCTAGTGGTGGTTGGGCCCACCTCCTTCTCTGTATGTTCAGTCCTTGAGGAAAAAAGACTGGACCTTGCACTATCTTTCTCAATCCAAATGCTTGTCGCTTTTGAGCAGGGCTGCATTATAAAATAAGGCCACTGGAGAGCCCTGGGTAAGATATAATGGCAACAAGAAGTCCCTTGGTAAAATGTGCAGGAGATAAGACAGCAGAGGACTGAACTGGACAGCAGGAAAAGGAAAACAGAAAACTTGGAAGACAAAACTCATTTTGGAAATGAGATGAAGGGTAGGATCCTAGAAGGTTCTGAGGATTTTAATTCAGATGCCTGAAAGAACAGAGTATCTACTGATTATGAAAGACAGAGGAGCAGTAACAGATTTAATAGTCGGAATGTAAGCAATTAAAAACAAAATTAAGGTAATCCAAATTTGATAATGTTCCTCAATAACTGTTTTTCGGTGTTCATTTCATAACCATTATGCATTGGTCTACATCAAAGAAACAGATATGTGACTTGTCTTTTGTTTGAGAAAAGAAGACTTACTGTCAACACCTTAAAGTGTCTGCACATACAACAGAGTTAACTATTCAAAACTGTGCTACTAGTAGTGAGAACTGGTGACAATGGCAGTGAACAAGCAGTACGAGCGGTCGGGGCAGCAGCCACAGCAGGCAGGATCTGAACAGACTCCTGCACTACAGGAGAAGCACTAAGGGAGAAGCATGAGGCCTGGGGGGAAGTGAAGGCAGAGGGGTGTGAGGAGGAAGCAGTGAGGAAGCGCTTTCTGGACTTGGAACAAAGGCCAAATGCAATGGAAATGTGGAGACAAGATGGGTACTTCAGACAGTGAGTTTTTTTGCCTTGCTCTGATAAGCCAATAGAGAAATGATTTTTTTTTTTTAACATGGAAAATAAACTGCATTTTAGAAACAGCGCTGAGACAGGAACAACTGAGGACAGAGCGGGAGCCCTGCCAGGAAGCTGGTCGAGGGTCCATGTTCCATTCTTCCCAGGCCAGCTCCGGAGGGAAGAGCCTGCCGGGAAAAAGAGCGTCCCACAAAACACTTGTATTTCAAAGTAAAATCAAAATAATCTATGGAACAATTTCCTTGGGAGAAAGGAAAGGAAGGAAAAGGCTGGAAGGAAGATCGGTTTCATGGAATATGTAGGGATTTTAACTCTAGTCCTTCTAAATCTGCAGGTATTTTCTAAGGGAAAGCCGTGGAAAGCAACACAATATGGAAATGTAAAAGAGAAGAGACAGGTGTAGCGCCTGTCCTCAGCTGTGGGAACCCCAGGCCTCTACAAAATCCTTTTACTGGCACCAGGGTTAAGGTGAAAAGCCCCCAAGAGAAGAGGCCCCTCAAGCTGAGGCCCCACAGCCCCAGCAGCAGCGCAGGCTGAGTGCCAATCAACAGCCAAAATACTGCACCAGACCCGGTGAGGCAATGAATCCATTCAGATTTCACTTGAGGGATCTCTAAACAAGAGACAAGAGGTCAAACAAGATGCCAAACTTAGAAGAAAGTCTGCTCTGCCATCACTGCCAATGAACACATGACTACTCGCTGAGAAGGTCTAACAAAATAACTGGCTCCAGGCCGCCCGGGTGGTGCAAGGGGTTAAGACGCAACCTGTGAAGCTGTCTGTAGGCACTGAAGCACGAGTTCGATCTCCGGCCTGCTGGGGAGCTACCTACAAGGCGTAGCAGACCTCTCCTATCTCGCCCGCTGCTGCCCCCCAGCAGTGTATTTCAGTCATTCTGCCTGTTCTGTTCCCCACTCTGTCTCTGGTGGGTCCTCTCACCCCCAACACCTCTGGCCTGCACCCCAGCTCTTATATGTATAAATAAATAAATCTTTAAAAAATAAAAAATAAATAAAACTAAATAACTGGCTCTGATGAAGTATAAAGAATCTTACCAATTAACAATGGAAACATACACCCTACTGTTTAGATGCACATTAAAAAATGATGGACTTTAAGATGACCAGATGGAAATAATTTTTCTTAAGTGGTTTCAAACCTTATAAAGTACACTACACGCCTTTCAGTCTGTACTTAGAAATCTTTAATTTTTTAAGATGTTATTATTGATAATAATATTTATCTTTTGCCTTACTATCACTTGTACTGGGCAGTCATAAACAAGACTTAAGCTCTTAACAGTAGCTGGAAAAGATGTTAGAAGTAAGGATTCATACTTTTTTAGGACGATCAAAGATGACAGAAGAGTAATAAGGAGCAGCTTTGCTTGAGGATCAAGTTTTGCATTATTTTGAAAAGTAACACAGACTATCCTGATTAAGGATCAGAAAAATCAAAGAAGATCTACATATAGGGGATAGCAAAAAAGTTTTTCAGTTTCTAATTAAAAAATCTAGACACCTAAATATTCCAATAGAAAACTAAAACTTAATATATAACACAAAACAAATCCCTTTAAAATTGTGCATAATACCATCCACCCCAACACCAGTGATTAGTAAGCCTGGGCAACATTCATTCATTCACCACCTGAAAAACTGTAACTGTTTGGATCTAGAAACAACCACAGGTCAAGCAAGCAGAATGTGAAACTAATAATTTCATTAGTTTTATTTTCACAGCAGATAAATAAGACAACTAACTTAGAGGGTTTTAAGAAATACTTTGCAGGCCTCCCTGGTGGTGCAGTGGTTGAGCTCTGGGTTGCAAAGCTGCCTGCAGCTTCTGCAGTGCCGGTTCAATCCCCAGCTGCTCCCCAACCCCCGGAAGAGGGTCCCACATGGTGCGCAGACCTCTCCTGCCGCCCGCTGCTCCCCTTAGCAGTGTACTTCGGTCCTTCTGCCTGCTCTGCTCCCTGCTCTGGCTCTGGTGAATTCTCTCACCCTCCCACGCTTCTGACTGTACCCAGTGCTCAAATGAATGAATGAATGAATAAATGAATAAATAAATAAATCTTTTAAAAAAAAAAAAAGAAAAAAAAAGAAACACATTGCAGGGCTTCCCTGGAGGCTCTATGCAAGCAAAGCAGCCTGAGTTCGATTCCCAGCCAGGGAATTGACCCACATGGCGCAGCAGATATCTCCTGCCTTGCCCACTGCTCCCCTCAGCAGGGTATTTCAGTAAATCTGTCTACTCTTCTCCCAACTCTGTCTTTGGTGAATCCTCTCAACCCCCAACACCTCTGGCCTACACCCCAGTTCTTCTACACAAAAATAAAAAAAAAAAAAACTTTTCATAAAATATGCAGTCATATATGAGAAGCAACAGGAAGGTGGGTATTTTAAATAAGTTTAACAAGATCATAAGTTTAACAAGATAATAAGCAGCCATATAATAGTCTCCAAAGCAAATTTAAATATTAGCATATTAGAGAGTAAAGAATGACTTAGATTTACACATGTAGCTGAAAGACAGTGCTTACACACTAGAAAAGTACAATTTAAATGAGGTTAATTCTCTGAATACTCTACCCTATTTATTAATGCAAATAAATGAAATTTTAAAAAAGTTCTCATCAATAAAACACTTTGAATCTCTGAAATTATCTTGATATAGGCTAAATATTCTTAAGAACACAAGGACAAAATACTTAAGAAATAAGTTGTTCTAACTGCAATGTCAGAAGGCACAAGAATCAGACAGATTGGCTGGAGATCCCCCGCTGCCCTTGGCCATCACATGCCTGGCACACTCACGGGGGTCTGTCACAGCCCACTTCACACAACAGGAAGAAGTGGAAAGCCCATTTCTAACGTGATCCTAAATATTTGTAAATTTTCTATACTAATGTTGAGAAATTTCTACTCATTTTTTCAATGTGAGCTACAGTATTCACCAGATAAGAATTTTTACTACCTTCTTCTATCTGAAATATCTGTACTTACTAAAAAGCAAGGTTTCTGTATTGGATCTAGCAACGTCTGACAGCGGCTAGGTTTCCCTCCACCAACGAAAAGCCAATTTTATCCCTATTCTTATGTCGTTTGGATTAAATATTTCCCTGTAGGAACAAGAAGAAGGAACAGTCTTTAGAGAAACTTTCTTTCTCTAAAGCAACAACTTTTGAGCAGTGAAAGCATCAGGTCACTTTCCCTAGCTTAAAGCAAAAGGCAAATTAGACGACTGAGCAATTTTCCTTAAAAAAAAAAAAAAAAAAAACTCACGGGGGAAAACTTATTTAAAATATTCTTCAGTTCCTGGAATATTTCAGTTGTTCTGCTTTCAATTTGGAGTACAAAACAATGGCTTACTTCCAAGCTGCCTCTCTTTATGGGATTCAGCACTAATAATTTCTTGAGAAGGTTTTCACAGTCAGTGGACATGTAGAAAGGGATGCGGTACTTCCCCCGTAAGACTCGCTCCCGCAGCTCCTTCAAAAGGCAAAAGGAAGTATATGTAACTGGCCTTCGAAATGATGGCACTTGGGGGTAAGACAGGAGCACGGCATTTGGCCGATACCTTCAGGTTCTGGCCATCGAAAGGCAGTGAGCCGCTGACCAGTGTGTAGAGAATGACGCCCAGACTCCACACGTCCACCTCAGGCCCGTCGTACTTCTTTCCCTGGAAGAGCTCGGGAGCAGCGTAGGGTGGGCTTCCACAAAATGTGTCCAACTTGTTCCCAACTGTAAATTCATTACTAAAACCAAAGTCAGCAATTTTAATATTCATATCAGCATCAAGGAGAAGGTTCTCAGCCTAAGAGGAAAATAATAGAAAGGACAATGTAAAAAGTCCACATAAAAGAAAATATGTATTATAATTGTTTCAGATCCCAAACACACACTCTGGCCTCTCTTTCATAAATGTTACATCATATTTGGAAGCGTGGTGTGGCGCTTCAGTGCTCCCTATTCACAGTTACATCCATAAAAGACTGAATTTTAACATGCAAAAGGAAAACTCTCACCTATACGAATACTTGCAACTGTTTCAGAAAGGTTATTAAAGCCCATCTCTTTCCATAGGTTATTTTAAAGACATTTTTTTCTTTATGGTAAAAAATATCCTGGAACTGTACCTCAACATGATCTCTTCTAAAGAATGTAAGTCAACATAACACTCATCCAACTTGAGGTTAAACCAACAAGTTTACCACAAGGTGTTCTGGTTTTAATAGAGTGCCACTCAAGGCACAAGAGTTTACTGAAAGTAATTTTGGAAAAACAACATCTCCAAACATGGGAGAAATCACTGCTTCCTACAGTGACAGACCTCCAGAGGAAGATCTCACTTTAGAACAGCAAAAGAAGCTTAAAATAGACAAGAGCTCATGCAAGCGGTATTGCACTGCTTAGTTTTACTGAAAGAGCAGAACTTTGTTGAGAAAACATTTTATAAGATAGCACCTTTGGGTAAACTTGTTGGTTTAACATCAAAACTGAGTCAAAACACTGGGTAAGACTTCTGAAGACTGGTTATGGTACCAGTTTCAAATATAACAAACTAGAGCTAGTAATTGCCAGAAGCCATGAAGAGAGAAGTAAAAAAGAAAAACAGATCCCAAGGTAAGAAACAAAGCATGTTCAATTTGGAAAAGAGAGGAAAACAAAAACAAGAACTGTTTTAGCTCAGGGACTTTCTACTTTCATTTGGGGGGGAAAAATTTATTTGGTCACAATAATTTCCTTGTGCCTTTTATTTTAAAAAAATAAAATAAAAACAAGAACTGTGCTACCTAAGGTATACAAGATGTGATACATCTATTGATACATAGTGAAATGATGACAAAAAGCCAATTAACGGACACATTAGCTCCTCAGGGCTTCCACATGTATATAAGTGATCACCGTTTTGAAATTTTACTTTCTTAAATGAATTTCCAGTGTTCAATATAGTACTATAATATGACAAAGTTCAGGTAACCAAAGCAAAAATAAACAAGAGAGACTTCATCAAAAAAGCTTCTACACCACCAAGGAAACCCATCAATGAAATGAAAAAGCTACCTATGGATTGGGAGAAAGCATTTTCAATATACAAAGCATATATCCGATAAAAAGTTAATATCTAAACTACATATGGAACTCATACAACTCAACAGCAAAAAACCTAACCCAATTAAAAAATGGGTGAGGCACAGAAATAGCCTTTTATTTTTCCTCAAGGAAGACATACAGATGACCAACAGGTACATGAAAAGGTGCTCAACAGCAGTAACCATCAGGGAAATGTAAATCAAAACCACAATGAGATACCACCTCCCACCTACTAGAATGGTTATCATCACACATGTAATGTTACAAATGATAACAAATGTTGGCGAGGATGGGGCAAAAAAGGAACTGAGCACACTGCTGGTGGAGATGTCAACTGGTACAGCTACTGTGGAAACAGTATGGAGGCTCCACAAACACTAAAACTAGAACTACCGTGTGATCCAGCAACCTACATGCAGGTATAAACCCAAAGAAAATGAAATAACCTCTGCACTTCCACAGTCACAGCCACAAACATTTCTTCACTATTTACATACTTCGTATTCCAAAGTATGTGAGTTTACATAAACCGTGTACATTTGATGCTCATGAAAACATTTTAAAACTTTCTTCATTTCTTTGAATTTTAATGCAAAGAATAGCTCTGGCTCTGACACTGAATAAAATTGGATTTGTGCCCTAACCTTGCTTCTGACCGAACGAGACCTCAGACAAAATTCCACATTTGACTACTGGGAATTACTAATGGAATGGTAAATCAAATCTCTAGTCTCTAATGCCAGATAACTTCTCTTTCATATTTTCTTCATTGGGAAAAAATTGCTTTTCATAAAGCTGCTGTGAGGATTAAATAAAATGAATGTCTTTGTATAGTGCGTGGCACAATTAGCTCCAATAATATAAAATATCTCTATATAATTCATAATTTTTTGGTATAAAATGAGTGGCTTACCTTAAGATCACGATGAACAATGCACTTTTGATGACAATATTGCACAGCAGATACAATCTGAAATAAATATTTGGATAAAAGATTCAAAATTATTTTATGGTAAACACATTAGTTTTTCCCAAATTACCACTTCCATTTTAGATAAATTTACTAACTTGAATTTCAAAGTATACGTAATAACGCCACTGTTTCTTTAATTTAGAAAACTATGCATACTAAAGTGATGAAACTTGCACTCATGAATGTGGAAAAGTAGTATTTTCTTATTAAAAAACACTAAATTTTTTTCTTGTTGGAGTCCATGAAGATTTTTATAAGTTGTTAAATTTCTGTTTAATGATTACGTACAATTTGAATTTCTGGTTAAATGGTTCATTTCAGTGTTGGAATAAGAGTAGGGCCCATACACATGCTTTGGTCTTCCAATAGAGTGGGCTCAAGTTCAAAAAGCAAAACTATTTTAGCCATTATATCAAATGTGTTCAAGACATGTTTCTTCAGCAAAGCCAATTTACTAAGAATTTAATGATGGGGCATGTAACAACATCCTATATTTTTATGTTCATATATAAAGAAATAGAATTTTTAAGTCTTAAAAAGAAACCCAATTATCAAAGGAAGGGAAAATGAAATCTAACTTAAACCTGTTAACTAATTCAGATAGGCAAGAATTTCAAATATACAAATCCTGTGTATTTGTTAACAGTTGTCATTTTTAACCCTGAGAGAGGGTTCTGTGGGGACAAGAAATAAATAGGGAGGAACCCAGTCATTTCAGAGTCAAAGATATAAATATGAAATAGGTTATAAACAATTCTATGGTAGTTATTTATTGAATCATATAAAACAGAGAAATGGAAAGAATCTGAGAGCAGTCAAGTAAGTGCATATAATTATGTATGATGTAGAGGACAACAGAACATTCAATTCAGTTAAGTGAAAACAGCTTGGATGTTGAGTATTGGCTAGGCATTTACAAATGGAGATAGAAATTTCATTTTTAAAAGTCTAAAGGTGATGTGAAACATGAACCCTGCTAACAGAAATACGGATCAAAAACAGAAAAGAACTTCAAAGTAGCAGCTGCTGAAACTCATAGTTGAGAATTACAAAAGTATCCCAACGCATGTTAAAGTGGATTCAAAGAGAAAACACAAAACAAAATAAACATACAATGAGTGATATGGAATTCAATTAAATTCATTTGGATTCAACAGTTTATTGAGTACCTGCTATGTGCAAGAAAATGTGCTTGCTGCTAGGTAGCTACAAAGTGAACACTACAAGGGCCCTGCCCTCAAGGAGCTGACATCTGATCAGGAAGAGAGAACATACTTGAGAGTAACTAACACAAGCAGAATCACAGAGGCAGAGGTACAAAGAGGTGAGGGAGTCAGTGGAGGGGAGTCCTAAAAACAAAGACCAATTCCAACCAGAAATGCCTCCTGCAGGAGGTGCTATTTCATCCCTGAAGGGTATTAACATTTTAAAATGTGAGAGTTGGTAATGGGGAGCTTGGGATAAGGTGGTGAAATGCACTGGAGTTGAAGTAACACAATGTATTTGAAAAGTAGGTGGGAAAAGGCTAACAGTGGGGGTGATGCCTTGATAGGTGGGTAAAGGCTCTGAGTTCTTAACGAAGCAGACAGTATAGACAGTATAGCCTACTAAAGGTTTCTGAACAGAGCGACTATAGATGATTATGGTTAATCTGAAGCACAAGTCCCAAAAAAGACAGCAGAATTTTTAATGAGTATTTGGAGAATTTTCTCAAGCAGTATTCTTCCTCAAAAGTCTCTTATCCAATTTTCACTAAAATAGCAACAGCCAAGAGAGATAGACATGTATATGCAATTATTAATATGGCCTATTGAACATACAACAAAGGCCATATTATAAGGCAATTTCTGTATCATGGGTGACAGAAATTTGCTGATAATATTATCTTTTTACCGTCTTGACAGAGATAATTTATTGGGTCACCAAACATGTGTTTCCCATTAGAGAGACTATCTCTATGGAAGCAGTTCTACAAACATTTCTGGGGTAAAAATCTCCTTAACTATAAAGCCTTGCAAATAAGAAGATCATTCAAGAGAATTCTGTGTAGTAAGCATTCATTCTCCCCACTCTCCTTGTGAACTTTGACTCCCGCAGCCAGAGGTGGAGGTTCCCCACACAGGCACTCTGTCCAGCAGGGTGCAGTCTGGCTGGGAGAGAAGTGCTGCTTCCTGACTCACCGAGGCTCCCCACCCAGGAGCCCCAGTTCTAACTGCATTATTTATGGTCTGGACTCCCATGGCAGAGCATTCTGTCTCTCCATAAATATGTGTAAGAACTTTGCTTGGATCCTTCTGTTATGCATCTTAAAAACCACAAATCCAATTAATGCTGCATTGACCCAAGATCCGGCGTCAGTGTTTTGCCATGAGGTGCAACTGCTAGGGCTTTGCAACTACATTTAATCCCCATGCTGTAAGTAGTAGCCTTCATTTTGGAAGTGTTGAATCAATACCATGATTTTCTTGCAGGCCCTCAAATCTTAAGGAATGCAGAGACATTTTCTGGCCTGTGGCAGCTAATGTGGTCTTAAGCTGTCCCGGGGTCTTTGCTGAAGCTAGTAACAGAGTCAAGGACATAAGTTTATCCATATATTCCATTACTAGAATTTTGTAAAATACAACACAAATAAAATATTAAATGTACATTTACTAATTCTTTAAGAATTTCAATTAAATTTACAAGGAAAAATAATCACATCAAAAATAAATCTAAAAACAAATATAATCTTTAGTCAAATAACTACAAAGTAGTGAGTGTGTGTGTGTGTGTGTGTGTGTCTATGTGTGTGGGCATGCGTGTGCACATGTGTATCCCTGGTACTAAAAAATGCAATTTAGTTACCTTTTTAATTTGGGGCAAATACATATTAATAGTAAATACATTTAATATTTGTAATAAATGAATAATTATAAAGAAAACAGTTCCTATTTGTTGCATTTTAAATAGCATTCATTTGATACAATCTCTGCAACACTGAGGATATGAAGCTAATTTCAAAATAATTCAGGTTTTTTTTTTTAAAGCCAATTAGTAATTATTGGGACCTTTATGAAAATATCTGTGTCCCAGCCTCCAGTACAGATGGGCAAGCTTTAATACCAGGTACCTTACCGTCTCTAATCATCCAGCATACCCAGCATAATTTCCTACACCCAGCACATCTTCACTAAATAAAACCAAGTGATCAAATTTTTTTAAAAAAGAGTAAAAGTGAGTAGTAATAACAATCTTTAAAATATGCATTAAAATCCCAGTGGGAATATTTAATGCTAATTAGAATCTTCTTGTTGGTGAGTAACAAACTATACTGTGATTGATAACGAAAGATCAACTGTATTTAAAGCAGTGACTCTGTGCTGCTGTGAGCCTGGACTTCCCTCCTAGGATAGGAAAGGACTGAACAGTATGTGACTAAAGCCACTCTGTTTTTCAGAGCTTCCTCATCACCAGCTGTCCTTAGATTTAGATGAATGTCTCTAGGATTCTATCTGAACAACAGGACTGGGCATGTCTTTGGTATAAAGAATTCTGTAGACTATGTTCCAAAAGTAATGGTTTTATAAGATATTAATAATAGAGGTTTTACACACACACACCTGCACAATCTATTTGGAGTACTCTAATGTCAAAACAAAGTTAAACAGGTTTTTCTTCCCTTCTTCAGGTCTACTCCAATGTTTCTTTGTTAATAATGTGTAGAATGCCTTAGGATGACTTCATATTTGTATTCAGTGTTTTCCAAATTTATTGATCATAGAGCCCCTTAAATTATAGAATCATTGTTCATGATTGTAGAAAAGGTATTGAGTTATTTTTAAATGAAATAATTTGGGATATAGTAAGTTGTCTGCTTTCACAAAAGTAAATTTTAGGAACAATTTGCAATTAATTAATTTGTCATTTCTATAGTAACTTAAAACATTCTAATTTTAATCACTGCATTCCTAAAACTAAAAATAAAATCCTAGATGAACTTAAATTACTTTTTCTTATTTCATCATTTCTGTAGTGAGTCATAAACAAGTGGAAGTAGAACTATAAATATCTTACCACATTCTTCCGCCACGTTTGCAAGGTTCCTTGCCAACTTTACTAAATAAAGTTGACAATAGTCTTTAAATCTACAAAAATATGAGTCCTAACACCAAGACATCTTTAATTATAAAACAATATAATGATCTCTTTTAAAAACACAAACATACTATATACTAAAGGTAGGTAAGAATTAAGTATTTTTCCATCTCAGTCAACTGTGTGTCTCCCAGACTATCAAAAAGTTAATGCTTCTTACCTAAAAACACTTCACTTTTTATGATTATCTAACAATAACCATTTGCAGCTATTTTAAATTTAAGTTCAGGAAGGAGATTTTCAGTTTTCAATCCTTAAAAAGTATAAGAAAGCAGAAATTTTCTTTATAAAATACCATGAATCTGAAGTCCAGTTTGTGATATTGTCCATTGCACATCACTAAAAATATCAGCAAAACAAAATTGAAAACTACTTTCCATACCTGCCTAAATTTTGCACGGGCCTCTTTTTCTTTCATTCTTCCATGGGCAACTAAGTAATCAAATACTTCACCTGAATCAGAAAGGTAAAGCAAGTAGTAAAATATACAGAGATTATTCAATTAACAATAATGCAATGTCAAGTTTTTGCCTTGTTTTTAAAGAAGCTTTGGCCCACAATTTCTGATAGTTCTATGTAAATCACAAACTATTACATGAATAGAAAAAAATTATATTTAAAATCGAATCATCTGCAGCAGTTTATCACTTAGCAAAACTCTTTTAAAGGTAAGTCATGAAAACATTACCAAGACAATTTGCTTTCTGTTTTCAAGTATTTTATAAAAATACAGTCAACTCTTTATTATCCATTCTAATAAAGGGAAGCCACAGCATGGGCGACATTATCTTTGGCTTTATATTTAGGGATTATATTTCAAACAAAATAACCAAAATAACCAAAGTCATATCATGTTGGTTTCATTTTAAATTCATTCTACTCATCCCGTAGTCTTTATCAAATTTCCTCTCACTACATCTATGCATTCTGATTTCTTTCTTTTCCTTTCTCTACTCTGATTATGCTTTTTCTCACCATGCTCATTTTTTTTTGACACTTTACCACTTACTGCACAGAATCAAATCATTCTGGTATGCATCTCTTAGTACCCTGGATGAGCTGCGAATTGCTCGTACAGTCTACCATGGTGTCTGGCTTATATTGTATTCCCGCCCCCATGACAAAGTGGTTGGACAATACATATTTGTTGAAAGAATTTAAAGATACCTAGAAACTAGAAATTTTCTTTAAACATACCTAAATTTTGTAATATTTCTCTACTTGGTAATATTTAAAAAACCAAATTAATGTTTCATTATAATATTAAAAATAAAATATCTCAGTGTAAGGGAGATATTTACTTTTAGTGTCCTTATAACTTGCACCATACATAGATATATATACATAAATCACAAAAATGGCTTAAGGAGTTCTTGTAAAGTGATTAAAAATTCAGGCTTTTGTATCAGGCCAATTTTGGTATGAATCCTAGTTTCGCTCGGAGTAGCTACTGGGGGATATTAGGGCCAGTTCGTAACTTCAAATGAAGATACAGTTTCTGTCTAATGCCTATCTCACTGTTGTGAAGACTAAATGAAATAATGCATGTGCTTAAGCACAATGACTGGCAGATAGTAAGCACTCAATTAATTATATATTTGTATCGAGGTGAACAGATATATCACATATACACATATGCAATATTGATCCTGAGAGAAATAAAATGTTAAAAAATCAAATATGTAATGATGTATATCAGATGGAACTAATACATCTACAATGTGAGACAGCAAATGACAGCAAGCATGCTTCAAGTGATGAAATGGAGTGATGTCAACAGGAATGGTAATGTATGTTCTAGTTGATCTCTTGGAGTAGTTAATTCTAGACCTGGGAAAACCCTATGCAAGAGTTACAAAATCTGGACGACTCTTAAATTCAGCGTGAAACACTCGCTCCAAATTACGTGACTCAGTCCTTTATTTGTTATCAATTGTTTTAGATGTGCTTTCTCAACTAGACTTTCTCAAAAGTCCCTGTCCTCATTTTCTTGAGGACAGGGACTTTTTCTTTACTTCCCCATGTTTCCCAGCACCTAGAATATTACCTAGTACACAGTGAACATTTAAGCATTGTTGTTTGCATGATTAAGAGAACAAATAAATGTACCATTCCAGAGTAGCCCTGATTCTTACTTTTAATAGGTTCTTGTGGACTACATGGTTCAAAACCACGAAGGAGTCCCATGCCATTTCAATTACTGAAAATCTTTTGCCCCATCAGTGAAATAGAATCAATTAATTCTCTCCAGAGAGGTAGTGGTCTGACTCAACTCCTATTCATGCTAGATCTCTAACATGCAAGTCAGATTCAATCCTAAAACATCTAAAAATTTTAGGGGGAAAATACTATTGTGTTTTATATGCCAGAGTCACCTTGCTATTTATACATTAAAGAGGCAAAAAAAAAAAAAAATTCCAGATTTACTGCCAGAATCACAATGGTTTTATTTATAGGGCCACTGACAGGCAAGACCCAAAGAAAATCTATCATTAGAAATCAGAATTAAATGAGGGACCACCTGTTTGGGCTGAGTCCCCCAAGCATCCCTCCAAACTGCCTTCCAACTACACTTGTGAAGGAGAGCAGAGAGGGGCCTCAATGCTCCCCACTTCTCCAGCCATCGCTCCCCTTCATTGTACCAATAGAGAGTTGACTGTACTTACCATTCATGCCTAAAGCAGTATCATGTTAATATTAACACAGTCTTCGGTAGACCTCCATAAAAATAGAACAGTGCCCACAGATTTTTAGTGTCCAAAAATTTTCTAGAAAAAATCTGTCATATCAAAGCATGCCCTAGTCCCTTTTCCTAGATTTTAGTTCATCAAAAGGTTTTTTTTTTTTTTTTTAAAAAAAAAAAGATATGACTGAACTAAAAATAACACTTAGGATTCCCATGCTAGCAAAGTACTACATAAATCTAACAAAAGGATAAAAAAATAGAGAAGAGATTCAGTAGGTGGTATTTTCAGGTACAATAGTTTTATTATAGATCTACATTTTATCACATATTTGCAAGGTTACACCAGTATTTTCTTACAATTCTATAATAATAAACGTTAACGACACAGGTTTTCAAATTAAGCCAAAAGCCCAATGTCGAAATATATTCAGGATGATGAAGACTGCAAAAAACCAAACTAAAAATTTTGATTTGCACAAAAACTGAAAAAGCAATTAAAATGTGTTTAATATTTGTAGTAAAAGGTTTTAGAATTCTAAAAGACAGTATAAAATACAAAGTTTAGATGCTACAGACTAGAATGAATCCTCTTTACTCATTACATAAAATCTGAATCATCATAAAAGCATACAATTTTATGTCTAGCATATATATATTACATGCATCATTAGCTGAAAGGATTGAACACTTTTTCTATTGATTAGCAAGCCAGTTAGCCAAAGCTGTGTAAGGAATTTCAGCTGCCTTCCTTCTTCTTCAATTGCTAAAATTCTAAGCTCTTAAAACCATCAAGTATTCTTTTCTTATTAAATGATTTAACTCCATAACTTTCAAATCATTTCTGAGAAACTTAAGTGCTCACGCTCATGCATGAGAGAATGATGATCCTGAGTCATATATCTCCCATTTGAGGGTTACATGCAGAGGTGAAAATGATATTCTATATCAGTGTTTAAAAATCATTCCTATTATTGACACTATATAGGCAAAACATACATTATATTCTGCTACAAATGCATTTTACTATTTATCAACTCAGTCTTCTAGTTCATAAATTACATACATACATACATATATATATGTACACACACATACATCCCAATACTTGTTCAAATTGATTTTTATGAATTATATTGAATAGTTTATAGATTGAATATATTTGAATCCTTTTTTATAAATTATCAACTATGTATGTATATATAAAGAATAAGTGATGTAGAACATGCTTTACTACAAACTTTATAAATTCATTCTGAATTTAATATTTCCTGCTTATGTTATTTTAATCCTAATATAATCTATTATAATATTTAGATAAGAAAATGAAAATATTCATAGAGAACGATGCAAATTTAGAGTTTTGAAAAAATTTTCTAATTAACGTTTAAATAAGCTAAAAATCCAACTTTTACATGTATAATCACCAGGTCTTGAAACAAACACTGAACTTTTCTTAAGATATCACCTAAAGGCATTTTAATAAAACTATAGATACATTAACAAGGAAGGCATAAATGTCATAATGAACATGTTGATAACTATTTATATCTCATCAAAGATAACTTTTCTATAGTCTCATCCTTACCCCCACTTGCGTATTCCATGACCAAATAAAGGGTCTTCTCTGTTTCAATAACTTCAAACAATTTTACTGAAAAAAGAAATTAGAGATATAACTCTACAATTGTTAGCACATATCATATATGCTTTAAGAAAATTTAAGGTACTACTGAATCAGTGGAAACGTTGAGTATTTACTGACAATTACAATTTAAATTTAAAAATTCTCTCAGGGTTTATTACTAGTGTGGAAGCAAACTACCTAGCATGAAGGGATTTGGGACCGACTGCTGGGTCAAGAGAGAGCTCAATTTCTGAGATTATGCAAACATTACTTTTTCTAATTAAAAAAAGGTAATAAAAGGGAAAATTCTAAAGTCAGAATAAAATTTTAATTAAGGTTGAAAAGAGACTATATTACAAATTATATTATATTTATATTTTATATTTTATATATGTAATTCAATTTTATAAACCACCCACATGGCATGCGATCTTTACTTGGAGAGACTTAGTAAGGAGATACAAACACTTATGCATCAATCCGAGTCATAGCCATCACTTAGTGGAGAGCAGGAGACACAAGGGAGCAGACAGCAGCCTCTGTGGGCTTCAGTTAACTTCTTTATCATCTATTTGACCTGAGGTATTGCAACAGGGTGGTCCCCAGGAAAGGGGGAGGTTCCCTGCCCCACCCAAGGGAGGGTGGAGCTGAGCAGTAAGAGGAGAAGCTGCAGAAGAGACTAAGGAAGGAAGCAAGATGGAGCCAGGAGACCTGGAGGAGGCGCATGGAGCCTAGAGACATGTGAAGAAACTGCGCTTGTCTTTTGGTCGTGGACTGGGTGACACAGATGTGGGTGAGACCCGTGGGGAGGTGACAATGGCAGCTTTTATCTGGATGTTGATTTTGCTCTTTTCCTTCCGGGCTTGTCCGGTTGTTTGTGACCCTTTGCTGTGGGTCCCCACTGGAAGATGCTTTAGACTTGTGGCAGACTTTGGGGCCTTGCTCTGGGCCGACCCCATATGGATGGAGTTTTACCCACGAGGGGATGGGTAACTTTGGGTGCTTCATTTAGAAACTAGACTCTTTGCCTCACCTGTATTGTTTCCTAGTTTTTATTAAAGTCCCTTCCCATTAAAGTGTCATATGTTTTGTGTTGATGCGGCGGATGGCAGAACCCATTTAGAATAGGCAGGTTTGCGGGGCTTGGGCTACCCCCTCCCTGTCCTATAACAGATTTGGCGACCACGAAGATTTAGGACAGAGCCATCCGTGGTTAGTCAGCCCCATGGGAAAATTGGACTTCCCTATGGCACTGGCTACCATAAGCGCAAATGTGATTTTTGGTTTCTCCAGTGTGTTTGTTTCATATGCCGATTTGCTGTTGAAAAACTGGCTTGGGCTTTGTGAAGATTCTGTGTGTCTGTATGTAATTTGTTTGTAGTGACTTGCTAAGACATTTGATTTTATGGAAATTGTTCTGTGCCAGTTTTACTCAAAATATTAGGCAGTACATTGGACCATGTGGCCAGATCAAAGATGGCGTCTGAGGCCACTTGGAACTTTTTTTTCTTTCTTTTTGTAATCTCTACTGTCTCATTAGCATTTCTAAAGGCAATAATGGTTCTTCAGTGGTATGTTGCTTTGTCTTTGACTACTTCCTGCCCTGTGTCTGACTGGTTTTGCAAGCCAACTGTGGAGCAGTGGTGTTTTAATTAGCAAATGTATGCCTGGGTGTTAAGGAAAGAGTAGCCTTAAGCAGTAACTGGTAATGGCTGGTATCCTTGATGGGTTCTTGGAGATAACTTGAATTTTTGCAAAGTCTGGATCAGAAAAATTAACAAGATTTTGTCTGAGTCTGAAAGGATTTGCTGCTGTGAATTTTGTCTACACAATTTGTTTTGGGCATGTTTGCCATTTTGAATACTGGATTTGTTCAATTGCTGGTGTAAGACAAGATTCTAAGTTTCTGCTTCCTACTGAGGAAGGTCTGTTATGGAAAGCACTCTTTAGGGTGCATCATGTAACTGTACCAGGTTTTCATACCTGTGTTGTTGTTGTCCCTCCCTAGTGTGGGGGAGGTGTAATCTGTGCTTAGATGTTTAATCTGCTCTTTCAGCTTCTGTCCCAGAGTGGCTTACAGAAGTAAGGAGATGACTCCTTTTAATTGAAAGTTAATTACTAATATTTTGATTTTGCTTTTTCAGGTTCTATTCCAGGAAACCCAAGGAGTGCCTGCTTGGTAGCTAACAAGAGATGACTCCTTTTGCTTAAAGGTTTACTTTTGCTCTTTTAGCTGCTGTACAGAATACCCCAGGATTGACTTCTAACAAAAAGTCTTCAACACTGAAAACCCTAAGTTGATAAACAAGGTCATGTAACTCTTGTGATTAATAAAACTTTTCCTTCCTATTTCCAAAGTCTTAGGTTTGCAGGATGACAACTGGAAAGCAACACTCCACATTTTTTTTGGACTTTGACATTTTTTTTCTGAGCCTATGGAGTAAAACTGCAGTTACATAACATTCTACGTGGCATAACTAAAAAAAAAACTGTCTTTGTCTATATGTTGTATGTCTGTATGTCCTTGTGTCTAACTGTCTTGACCTCCAGTGATTGACAAATTGGTATACATGGTGCCCATAGACATTGAAAAAAAAAGAGTCTCCAGTTACGAGAAAAACTAAAGGTTATGGTTTGATTGTCAACATTGTGCTACTGAACTAAGCCGGTGCCTTCATAGAGATTAAATATTGTTGTTTCTGTTAATTTTCTGATATTTATGGCAAAGCTTCCCAGAAATCTAAATTCAAGTACAAATCTGGTAGCCTGTCATTTGACTGATGCAAGGAAATTTTGTGGAACCTCAGTAGAGCTCCTGAGACACTCCACGAAGTTTCTCCCTTTTCCTCCTGGGAAAGGCATTAAATGAATTTGTTCTATTTGGATTTTACCTAATGAAGTAAAACTGGAAGGGAAGCATTGTCACTTGGGAAAATGGTAAAACTTTGGTATGTACAAAATGTTAACAGTAGTATCTGGTATGTATATAAATTGTCAATGGTGATTGTCACCTTATAATATTATAATTCAATTGTTTCACATCTACAGAAATTGTTTCTGAAAATATAGGGAGAAAAGGTCTCAACAGATTCCTATTGATGGAACTGTTGAGAGTAAAACTTTCTTAGAAAGGACTCAATAGACCTGGAAATACACCTGACATTTACTAAGGTTTCTTTGACATAATACTGGAAATTTTTTTTTATGCATTCTGTCCTGAATCCACGAAATTTTTGTTTTGTTTTGTTTTGTTTTGACTGACCAGGATCTGCAGCAAGGTTGTAATTTTTTTTTCCAACAAAGCTAACTTGTGTTTGCATTTTCTCTCCCCTTGATACCAACACGGCATAAAAATAGTGGTAGTAATCTTTTACTACTTATCTCAGAGTCTGTTTTTGCATAACTTCCATAGGGATTTTGTTTAAACTAAAAAAAATTGAACATAAGTTTCATTGTGTGGCTTTGTGTGGAGCTCTTCCAAAAAGTTGAAAAAGAGCTAAACCAAGAAGAGGAAAACCTGTTTGCCTTGTTTGTAGGGTTCCAGAGACCTCCAAAGAAGGTGAGGAAGCTTGCCTCCATTGGCAGGACTGGACAACCCGGCCAGCGAAAATGCCCTGGTACCCTCGAAAAGAGGAAAGCCCAGGTGGAGTCTAATGAGACCAACTTTATACCTGAAGCCTGCATTGACCAGATGCCAACGGTTCGCTCTGATCCTTTATGGAATATTTCAACAAAGCCAGCTAAAATTGCTGTTAGTTATTTCTACTCTGTGATTTTATGCAAAAATAGAAAAATGGTTTAAAAGTAGATCTAGTTTGCAAACTTTTGCTTTGCTGTTAAAAGTTTGGGATCAAGGTTGAGAAAATTTATGTTTTACATCAGTTGAACCATTTTAACATTTTTTTCCCCTGTGATTTTGATATATTTGCTATCTTGTTTTAGCCAATGCTCCAAATTTTTTCTTTTGGCTTGTATAATGGACTATTTTTAAGTAATGAAACTCATACTGGACATTCATGGACAATGCTGCTGACTAATTGTTGCTTCTCTTACACACATTGTAACCCTGAAAAAAGACTGTCTCCTAAGATTGCACCATGAGATCTGTGCCACCATAGATATGGTGGAATAAAAATTAAAAGGGGGGATTGCAACAGGGTGGTCCCCAGGAAAGGGGGAGGTTCCCTGCCCCACCCAAGGGAGGGTGGAGCTGAGCAGTAAGAGGAGAAGCTGCAGAAGAGACTAAGGAAGGAAGCAAGATGGAGCCAGGAGACCTGGAGGAGGCGCATGGAGCCTAGAGACATGTGAAGAAACTGCGCTTGTCTTTTGGTCGTGGACTGGGTGACACAGATGTGGGTGAGACCCGTGGGGAGGTGACAATGGCAGCTTTTATCTGGATGTTGATTTTGCTCTTTTCCTTCCGGGCTTGTCCGGTTGTTTGTGACCCTTTGCTGTGGGTCCCCACTGGAAGATGCTTTAGACTTGTGGCAGTCTTTGGGGCCTTGCTCTGGGCCGACCCCATATGGATGGAGTTTTACCCACGAGGGGATGGGTAACTTTGGGTGCTTCATTTAGAAACTAGACTCTTTGCCTCACCTGTATTGTTTCCTAGTTTTTATTAAAGTCCCTTCCCATTAAAGTGTCATATGTTTTGTGTTGATGCGGCGGATGGCAGAACCCATTTAGAATAGGCAGGTTTGTGGGGGTCTGGGGTGCCCCTCTCCCTGTCCTATAACAGTATCACTTTCTCAGGTCATCATTTTCCTGCCTTTTAAATAAAACATCCTGAAAGTTGAATCTTTTCAAATATTCTCAAATGAAGGAAAACACTTTGCCATTAATTGTATAAAAACAATTCATACCGATGTTAGGATGATTCAGAATCTTCATTATTCGTACTTCTCGAAACAACTATTAAAGAAAACAGGTAGATATATTTCTGTTAATAAAGAACATGAAAGCAGGGAACCAATCCAAAGAATTCACTAGAAGAAATTCATCTGCTGACCACATGACACGGGACTAGGACCTGGGAGGGAGCTGAGAAACCAGAGCCTTGTTCCTCAGTCCCAAGTCGACTTTGCTGAGACTTGGTTTCCAGGACAATTCTGACTAGATGAAGTCACATGGGCCTCTGTGAATACGCCACATACAGTGACACCAACTTTTATTCAACTATTCTGCATTACTAGGGAAAAAATAAAAAGATTGTGGAAAGGCCAGTGATCTTTCATGGGATTTTTATCTAAGATGTATATTCTTGGATATATATCTTTATAAAAGAGGAATGATACAAACCTACATTTAAGCAAAATTTAGAAAGAAAAAAACTATCTTGAGTAGCATTTTTAGGCAAGATTTGTATAATGTCAAAGAATAATTAAAATATAGTTGCTATTTTATATAAAACCAAAATAAAATTAATAAGTCACTTGAAATATGACCATTAAAATTTCCCTTTTTATTTTACTTTTTAAACAGTATAATACCCGCTTTTCAAAAGCAATGACAGCATTGTTTTCTCTCTCTGTTGTCTTTGTGTGTTACATTCAAAATCAAGCGACTAATTCAAGAAAATAGAAGAACCAATAATTGGTAAAATTCCAAAAATTCTGTATTGACATACACAGTTTATCAGACTAAAATCTAAAGTTAGTGCTTCCAGAGGTGACATTTCCAGGGAAGGTTTACAAAGAACCCGAAAAGATGCTCAACATCATCAATCATTAGGGAAACATAAATCAAAACCAGTGTGAGATACAGCACTCAGACTCCTCAGGAGGATTACTATTTTAAAAAGAAACAACAGAAAATAACTAGTGTTTGGCGAGAAGATGGAGAAAAGAACTGAAAGCAAGGGCATTCGCATAGGTGCTTGTTATACCCAAGTTCACAGAAATGCTATTCACAAAAGCAAAAGAAGCCTAAGCAACTCAGATAGCCAATGAAGAATGAGAGGCTAAAGAAAATGTAGTAAGACATACCATGGAATATTATCCAGCCTTAAAACGGACAGCAATTCTGCTGCACACTATAGCACAAACAGACTTATGCTGAGTGAAAGGACAAATACTCTATGAGTCCACTTATATTTGAGGTTCCCAGGGTAGGATAGCTAAATTAACAGAGAGACAGAATGCTGGTTGCCAGGCATGGAGGGGACAGAGGTATAAGGTGTGGAGCTTCTGTTTTGGAAAGTGGGCAGTAGTGCTGGTTGTGCAGTGATGTGAATGTACTTGATGCCACTTAACTGAAAACTAGCTAAAATGCTAAATCTTATGTATATCTTAACACAGTTTAAAAACAAAAATATATGTCTACCTGTTTGTCCTCACTAGCCTCAATAATTCCTACATGAAAAGTCTAGGGTGTACATAGTCTGCATGTGTGAGATTGTGTATGCGTGTACCTGAATGCATATTCATATATTTTTATGAGATCCACACTTGTGACTTTAATAACTAAAAATGAGACAGTAATAAATAGTGCTTCAAAGCAAATTCATTCATGTTCAAAAACAGCTCATTTCCATAACTGTGAGATGCTCTCCTGTTTCAAAACTGGACAAAGAGCTCGCAGAGTAGCCTCTCAGGGGTGTCAACGCACTCGAGACCATCTGCTCCCCAGGCTCTGACACAGCACATCCTTCACATAATCTCTGTGCTCACTGGCCACTCTGCTGTCTGCCGATGCCTCTTCCCTCTACTCACCTTTAAACATGGAGGTCCCCGGGTCTCAGCTCTTAGCCCCCTTGTTCTCTTCCTGGGGAGTTACCATGGTTTCACATATCAATATGCTGACGCCTCCTAAATTTAAATTTCTCATCCAGAGCATTCTTATGCTAACCTTTATATCCAAGTATCTGCTCAGTATTTTCACTTGGCTGTCTCACACAATAATTCAAACCAATACTTGATTTCTCACACCAAACATGACACACCAAACACACCAACTAGGTTTCCCTAGTTGTGTACATCCATCTAACACGTTGTTACAGGAACTTTTGATTCATCCTCAATGACATGCTCCTGCCAAATCTCTAGATCAGAACTATCACGAAGATCTATGGACACTACCTCCAAAACTTGTCTGAAAAACTATCAACTTCTACCCATTCACACTGGCATCCCTGCCACACCGGACCCCACTGCTCACGGGCCATCCATTCTGCACCCCTGTCCTCTGGCACATGGACCACACAGCACTACATTGCTGCAGGTTTTCCTTTTTAGTCTCAAGGAAGCACATCTCAAGGAAGCACATTGCAAAAGACTGAGGACAACAGGGTTATACAGTGATCTTGAATTTTTTTTTTTAATAAAGGTCACTTTTTTTTAAAGATTGATTTATTTATGCATACAAGAGCTGGGGTACAGGCTAGAGGTGTTGGGTGGTGAGAGGATTCATCAGAGACAGAGTGGGGAACAGAACAGTCAGACTGAAATACACTGCTGAGGGGAGCAGCTGGCGAGTCAGGAGAGGTCTGCTGCGCCATGTGGGTTGCTCCCTGGCTGCCCGGGGATCAAACTCGTGCTGCAGAGGCTGCAGATTTCTTCACAGTGCGGTGCTTAACACTTTGAGCCACCAGGGAGGCCTGATCTTGAGTTTTTTATTGTTAATTTTTATGGAATTATTGGCAAATTTGGTATTTTACTCTCACAAGCAAAGTGATGGAGGTATAACTTATAATCAGTGAAAACACACGTCTCCTAGCAGCCCCATGTTGGAGAACATACAGGCTAAAGGGATGGATTAGCTGCCTGTCCATCAGACACCCCTCCATAAGTGCTGCTTTTTGTTTGCTTATTTAATTGTTTTTTAAAGTGGGACTTTTGGTAGCAACAAATTTATTAATTTAGTCTCTCACTGGAACCCAGAATGTAGCTACTCTGTTCACCCAAGAACAGAAGAGTTAGTACTGGTACAGTCATCTTGTGAGAACGAGAGTACCTAATAAGTACAGCACTAGTCAGAGGATGCTCTACTTCTCTGGAGATGAGGTCACACAAACAGTTACAGGAAGTTCTGAGGTTCTCATCAGAAAGTAATTCCTCATTCCAGTTAAAACAATAATACAGTCATTGGGTCCATGTTCTCAAAGACATCTTGATTTATACCCTTAGTTTCTTCATTAATGCCCTTTACGTGTACTGTTTCAACTTTGCTGTGGACTCTAAATTAAGGCCAGAGTTTGTTAAAATTGTGTGTCGAATTAAAAGAATAAGTGCTGAGCGATGGCTCGAGACAGATGGTTGTGAGCAGCAGACATGTTTCTGTTTGGACGCTGTGACGGCTACTGTCACTGTCCAGAGGTCTTTGTAGTTTCCTGCTTGGCTCTTGACTTTGTTCCAGAAATTGAAGTAATTATTCTGTGGAGAAATAATTAATTTTTCATTTCAGCTCTTCCTGGTTAGGGCCTAGGTTCAGGGTTAGCTAAACTCCATTGATATTAATCAGCCTCGATTACAAGAACTTCCATTTTCTCCTCTCAACTACTCCTTGTTCCTTCCTACCGCTTCCATTCCTTTAGCCTATTACCCTTTTTGATGATGGGGAAATCTGCCATAGAGAAGAAGCCAAATGGGCAACCCTGCTCCATTTATGGCCCCACCATCATGGTCAAGGGCAGTCAAGGGCACATCGTCATCTCCCCAACCTGACAGCTCACCATGTTGCCTTTGGCCTTATCAATATCGTAAGACTGCTTCTCTGTCTGTTTACTCTTGAGGCAGATGGAGGGCAAGTCTGTAGCCTGAGGAACTGGACAGGGGTCCAGCCTGTTTTTCCTGGGAGAGGTCCTCCAGGCTGCCCTCAGAGGCACAGGACACTAGGCTCAGAGACGTCAAGTGAAGGTCAGACCTTGCGCCTTTCAGCACAGCCTTCCTAGTCTTGCAAGCATTTTGCTCTGAATCATTTTAGGGAGGGGCAGGAGCACTTCTTCGCCTTCATCATAAGCCTTATAAAAATTCTATCTGTGTCTTTGACAGCAGCCTACGGGCCTACGGCGAAGTGTGGGTGCTGCTGACCCTGCAGATGACATTCATCTCTAAGAGACTACAAGGTCTCCATCTAGACTCTCAGAGGGGGCGTTCACTGAGGGATTACAGGCATGGGCTGCCAATACTGAGCAAGACCTATACATTAAACTTTCTGCTTTTTAATGTCTAGGTTCACCATGCTTCTCCTTTTTTAGCCTTCAGACATTTTATTGGGATGCTAAGGTGTTTTTTTTAAAATATTAATTAATTAATTAATTTATTTATGCACAGAAGAACTGGGGTTTAGGCCAGAGGTGCAGGGGTGAGAGGATTCACCAGAGACAGAGCAGGGAGCAGAACAGGTGGATTTTATTGAAATACACTGCTAAGGGAGCAGCAGATGAGACAGGAGAGGTCTGCTGTGCCACGTGGGCCAGCCAGCTCCCTGGCTGGGGATCGAACTCAGGCTGAAGCAGTGATAGCCCTGAGACTTAACCCCTTCTCCCTAGGGAGGCCTACTAGGACACTAAGTATTTTATAAAGTTTAGATAGTAGCAGCATAACAATGAGACCTTCTTAAGTTCTTCCCAGGAAATAGTTCAAAAACAGATGTGACTATGTATTAGGTGACTTCTAACTATAAAAAGAAATGATTATTCACTATTACTTGCCAAACTTGACGTCAATTATTCATTGCAAAGTAAGAGAAGGAATACTTTTTAAATGAGAGGCTGTACCACTTTCCCAAGTTTTATTTCCACAGGTAGATTAGAAGATTCTCAGTTCTTACATACTAGATTTTCTATAGCATGAATCTCTCAAGGCTTCTCACTCAGGGCTCAAGTTGGTGCACAGCAAGTATAAAATCAAATAATTTCAGAGGGTATATTAAACATATAAATAGGTTAAATTTGAAAAGATGGCTTAGCCTCA